GTGGAAAAAATACCACCGTTGTGTATCGAACCGCCGTGTCACGAGCCGTGTTTTCCACAGTGGATTTTTCACAGCCGTCGTCTCTGGATGAAAAATACGGGGGGAGCCACGAGCATCGTAACGGGGGAGTGTTAAGGGACAATTATATTAACGCCCTTTCGGATCACACCCCCGCTTACAAGATCTTTCTTGGGTAATTTCTTAAGAAGGGGGTATACCCGCCGCTTCTTAAGCTTATTTAATCTCTCTCTGTCGTCTTTTAACGGTGAAGCGGCATAATCTAAAATTCATTGTCTCCCCCGAGTTTCAACTTGGTCGCCCGTCTCTCTCTCTCTTTCTTTCTCTCTCTCTCCCCATCTTTTTTATCGTAACGCTGTCAAATCTTATCCGGCCCCTTCCGTTTTCTATCCTCCTCTCTTCTAATTCTCGTTGTCGTTAATTTTATCGTCGTTCTCGACGTCATCCATTCATTCGGAAATAAAAAAGAAGAAAAAAGAAAGAAAATAAGGAAATTTATTAGGTCGTTAATCGAGTTCTCTTTAAGGAATTTTCTTTACGAGAAATATTGTACTCGAATTGTCTTTTCGTTTAATATTGTATGCGAGTTCTTTTTCTTTTCTTTTCTTTTTTTTTTTAATTTTTCTCTTAATTTGAATAGAGATTATTAATTTATCCGTTCTCACTATTCAACAAGTATTCGATCCCATTGGATCGTTGGAGGCAACGCGTTAATTAATTATCGATCACGCTTTTTCCACGTCTAGACGAGATAGACAATCGTCGAAATATAGATCCTAATATCCGCAAAATAAATTTCTTAACTTCCTGCCTTTCTCGAAATTTCCCTCGGCTTCCTTTCACACCGACGAGAACCCACATACACATTCTCAGCCAATTCGCGACGACTTTTAAGAAAGAGACAGAGAGAGAGAGAAAAAAGAAATAAAATAAAAGAAAACGAAATTACAGCCTATCATCGTTTACAAGCGATCCATACGACTCACTTAACGACCCAATAAGAAAAAAATTGACCCTTTCTCATTAAGTTATACCAATATATACCCAGCCTCGCATCGATAAATTATCGTGCTTTACGATTCTCTTCCTGGTCACAGCTCGTCCGTGACGAATCGCCCTTCGTACGTTTCTCTGAACCGCGTCCCCGGATCGGGATTCATCAGGGTTCGATCCCTGGAGAGGAGAGGAGAAGGGAGGGGAGAAGTCTCTCGCGAAAAACCGGAAGTCTGGAGAACGAGCGCGGTGATTAACGGTCTGGACGACCGTTTCACGGAAGGCGCAACGCGTTTTTTTCGTGCGTGGCATCGAGCGATAGCCCGCCACGCACCGCTTCGTTCACGCGGTGCTGATAACACTGTTTCAACTGTCAACCGATACGGATACAGTCGGGGATGTTTCACAATTAGAGAAGCCCGTGAAAAAAGTTCGAAACTCGGCTCGTCGTCGCGTTGTGATTAATCGTGTGCGACTGACGAAAGGGAAGAGAGAGAGAAAGAGAGGAAGGGGGGGTCGGTCGAGTTTCGACGAGCGAAACCCGGAAAGGAGAGAGTTACGAGGACGAGAGAGTCGTGGCGATATTTCAACGTGACGTCCTCTCTCACAGCGGCGAGATAAAAGAAATCGCGGTGTATCGAGGAAACCGAGCGAACTCGCGCACGCGGCTCTTCGAATAAACGAAGTTTTGCCACTGGTAAAAAGAAATTATTCTGGAAGGCGCGGCGCGATAAATAACGCGAGTGTTCCACGAACGATGCTCGAGTTCTCTCCGAGTATCTAACCAGACCAGACGATTGCTCAGCAACGCAAAAATAGAAGGTGATTGATCGTGCGGGTCTCCGTCACGAAAGGAATGCGATCTGTGCGCGGTGAATCTCTGTGTTATTGCCACGATCGAAACGATCCCCCCACCCTTTGAAATGAAATGGGAGATTTGGTGATTTCTCGGTGAACGGTGTCACGATTTTCTGATTCTCCGGTGTATGCGCTATATTAAGAGAGCTCGAGGCGTTGAGAGAAGGAAGAAGGAAGCTTCCTTTTCAAGGGAATCGCTTGGATCGTTGCGCGCTTTTCCATCGAGCGGATGATTCCTGTGACAACAGGATGGGCCGATAGAAAGTGGATAGAGATAGTATTTGTCGCGCAATCAGGAATCATCGATGAACATCGAGTGGTTGGCAACGTGCTCCACCGGTTAATACCACGACGAAATTACGCCGCGCCAAGTGTAGCCAGAAATTGGCAGGATAACGTGGCCACACTCGATTATTGGGTGCAGGAGAGATCCTCTCCCAGCGGGTTCGTCGCGTTAGGTATGTACGTTACACGCCTGCATTTACACGTGCTCGATAATAGCCAAAGTAGATTCGTAGATCCGTCCCTCTGATTAATGGAGCCTATTCATCTTTCTTGGTTTTAAGATAAAACCTCCATCGATTCCTTTTTCTTTCTCTTTCTAAAGAGAAACACACGTGTAATTCAACTCTGTCATTATCCCTGTTGTACATTATATTCATTCCCTCCTAATTATAATTTAAATACAATCCAAAAAAAACAACGATCGTTCAACTTCAGTTTCGAAATATGAAAAAACTGTAAATAAAATTCCAATACGTTTGTATACATCTCGATAATAGTAGTCAATGCGCGTAATAAACATTGGTTTATTCTGAAATTTAGTCTAAATTGAACGAGCGATGCGGCTGCAATAATCAGCTGTTCGCGTCGCGGCAATTAATAAAAAGAGATACAGAGGGGAGCGTTCTCGACGTTTCTACGGTTATCGTTCACGCAAACCTACGCGCTCGAGGAGAGGATCCCCTCCAGCGCGATGCGAAGATCGAATGACAAGGCGGGAGGCGTGGGTGTACTACGCTCGTAAGATGGGCGCACGAGGGCGGCCGGTCACCCCGGTGAAACGCGAACAAAGAAAAGTTTCATGGGCGCGGTGATGAGTTATCGCGAGCTCGCTTTCGGATCTAAGTTATCCTCGCGCATCGTGTTAAAAGTTGACGATATCGCGGACTCGTGAAAGATGAATACGTTTGGAACGTTCATCCGACGTAATTAACGAAAAAAATTAACGTTGAGAATGTGTCACGAATGTGTCAATTCATTTTATCGTGATCGCGATAACGCATATTTCTCTTCGAATCGAACGAATGAAAGTAGGATTATTTTGTAAAATCAAATTTTCTTTGTCTCTCGAATGTATATTATCGGACATTGGATCGTCTCTTTCTGTCTTTTTACGTGCCACGTTACAAGTTTATAGGAGTAGTAATAAGATTACGACTTTACATTTTATAAGTACATTCGTGCATAATACGTAAGAAGCACTCGCGTAAATATAGTCTGGAACAAGAAATTCCACTCATAGGCGAGCTATAAAATTCTCAATCTGATTTCGTTGTCCTTTTTCGAATTCTGCCCTTCTCAACTTCGTACAGCAACGTTACGAAT